TAGTCCTACTAGTCCCTAAAAAGTCCCGGTCCAGACCCGGTCCGAACTAGTTCCCCGTGGACCATTTAACATCCCTATACAGATAACTATCAGTTGACCAGCATTAAATGATCGTCAATAATTGGCCTAAAAAAACTAATAGCGAAATTTTACCCTAGCCTTAATCAAACTTAGGCCGGGTATCATATGACGCAAGGATGCATCTTAGGCACAACTATTGTTAATAATCGATTAAAATCATGATTGACTACAATCAGTTTTCAAAATTTCCTATGTAACCTGGAACTTTATAATCAGCTAACGGTGGCTCCACGTGATATAAGATTAGCCGTTAATTAGCTGAGCCGTTAATTAGCTCAGCTAAGCCGATCGGTTCACGGCTATCCAGAGCCGCTTTACATCACTATGTTGCACTTTCCCATCTCTGAATTTAGTTTATCTTCATTGTGTTTATTGAACTTTATTAAGTGATTGAGTTTTTTTTAGAATTCCTGCATCTTATATATATCCGAAGGATTTTGCTTATAAAACATTAATAACATTCACTAGCTTATCATATTTTAGTTTTAAAGGAAAAATTTTAAAAATCATATTAATACAAATAAAATAGTATGTTTATTAACTAGCTTTTAAGATTTAGCAATTATTTGTTGTGCTCATTGATGTGATTTAACAAAGCCATTTTTTAATATAATATAACCATACTAATTATATTTATACTGTAGGAAATGCAAGCTTTAGTTGCATTAATCGGAGGTGGTTTTGCTATTAATACAGCATTTATTGCATTAATACCGATATTGAAAAATCGAAAGAATCAACAATTCAAATATTGGGGAGTTTTGTAATAATTTATTGAAAGTTTGGCTCGCTAACATCTGTCCACTTTTATGTGTTTTTACAATTAAGAACCGTACATGTGTTGATGTTTCTATAAACATATGTTTAACATTGTGCTTTTATTTTCATTATAATTCTGTAATTAACAAGCAAATTAGGAATCTGCAAAAGACACTAATATCAGAGATAGGCCATTGCAAGTATTGACTAGTAGATTAGCCATGGTGATTGAGGAAAGCAATAACATAAATTTAGTCCAATCAGATTGTAGGATTAAATGTAAAAAATCAAACAAATCAGACAATCGTATGAAATGAAATATACAAAACCTCTCTTTAGGATTAGCTCTATAGTAGATGAAGAACACATTATATACAAGACAGTTTATATGTAAAAAATTCAAAGTTATTCGGTGCACTAGATCTTATAATCTAATTTGGCTAAAATCCTGTGATTGCCTTCTTCATTCGCATGATATTATAATTCGCGTCACTGATGCAGATCCCTAACAATCATGAGCACAAGCATATACACAAAATGACCAATATTATCGGATCGTATTTTAATTTTCATGTACGTTGTAAAAGGGCCAATATGGATATATGGGGTGACTATAATTCATAGCTAAAACACAACCAAAAAGACCAAAGGCTACTCGAAAGAGGGCGTGGAAGATTTGGTCCAAGAACCAAGGATCCTACTGCCACTAGGATCCTGGAGTTTATTATTAGATGGTCTTTATTATTATAACACTTCACTACTTTTCAGATACATAAAGTCAATGGTTATTTATACATTACAGATAGCCTTGGGGCTTTGCTATAACGATTAGAATCTCTAACTAATATGACTAATCTATGACTAACGATGAGTAATCATACTAATTTTGTGGCTATGATGTTAGTTCCCACCATTGAAATTAAGAGGTGTCTTACTTAGTGATGTGAGTTGGTAGCTACCGGTAGCTACCGTGAGGTTAATGATATAAAGTGGTAGATGGTAGGTAGATGGTTAGCAGTTTATTGGTTGATTACGGCTTGTACTATATAGGTAGAAGAATTAGCTAACCGGTAGTGGTAGCTACGGTAGCTACCACATACCGGTATATACCGGTAGGGAAATTGTGATTTGGGAAAATTCACATCACTAGTCTTACTATTGTTCTTCAATGGAGCATCGCATCAAGCCAAACCCAAATTGGCATTTATTAAATTCCTTCGCTTTTGTCGATCAATGCGCATTTCAGGACCCGAGTCATATACTTGGATTACGTTTTTTCTGCGGCCGGGTCACGTTACCCTTCACAACGTACATCGATTAGGTAGGCCACGTAAAGTTGATTTTTCGTTTTGCATTACATGGATTTCAAAATTAGGGACGGACGGACGGATTTTTTTTTTTTTTATATTTTTATTTTTTTTTTTAATTCAATTTACTGTAAATAGAATAATGATCACATTTGAGGTTATATTTGCACAACAAAGAATCAAAAAATTGGGCCGGCAGTCATATTTTTCCTGTCAGTCCTGTCGGAAAATTACGGGAAATTAAGGTCTCCGTCGGGAGATGCCGGATGAAAATAGCGGGAAAAAATAGATGTCAAAAATCGTACAATTGGCATAATTGAGATCTAAAAAAAAAAAAAAAAAAAAAAAAAAAAAAAAAAATTTGAAAAATTGAAAAATGGGACGGCGGGTAATGCAAAACGAAAAATCAACTTTGCGTGGCCTTAACCAATCAGCACAGATTTTTACAATAATCGAGTCGAGTATCTAAACATATACTCGAGTACTAACAAAAAAATATCAGTAATTTTACCTATAATACTTACTTAATCTTCAACTTCAATCCTAAGTTTAATGTCATTCTACACGAAATGCCAGAAACTGTTAAAGGCATATTCACAAAAATTGCAGCCTGCCAGACATTTTATCTTAGCTTAAAAAGTTTGTTATTTTTATACCGGATAGCCTTTATCATGAATATAAAGTGCCAATTAGTACATACTCGGGCATTTTATATCAATGATAACAAAAGTGTTTGATAATTAAAACCAAGTTTTGTGTCTATAGCTATGACAATATATGGTTAGATATTTGTGCCTATATCTGTGCTTTATTCAACCTGTACTTGTGTTTATTAATGATGGGTGATGCATGACGCAACTTGCGTCATTGACGCATGACGAAACCATTTCGTCAGGCAACTTCGAATTGATGAAATGACACATGACGCAATTCTTGAATGTGTGGTAGTCCAAATAATTTGATTAACCATAGTTGCCACAACAAAATTGTCACGGCAGATTCTCGATTTTGATTGGCTAAGATCGGCGATCAAGAAATTAGGCCGGAGTTACTCATAATTTTACTAATGAAATCGCAGCCGCCCATTAAGTGAAAATTGTTCCTGGCAAATTTTACCATAATGGGGCTTATTTTTTAAAAATTTCTATTTTATGATGAAAAAATCAAAAAGTTGATTCCGGCCGGAAATTAGTAAACAATTATGTAATGCGGGCCTATTTTTTAAAAATTTCTATTTTTGTAATGAAAAATCACAAAGTTAATTCCGGCCGGAAATTAGTAAACAATTATGTAATTTGGGCCAAAATTTTGAAGATCCTCGGCCGTTAGCTAATTAAAATCGAGGATCTACCGTGACAATTTTGTTGCGGCAGCTATGGTTAATAATAATTTGCGCCATTTAAAAATTTATAAATTTTATAGAACGAAAACAATATTTTTTAACATTATTTCTCTCTTATTATTTTCGAAAAGGCATGTTTCCCTTCATTTTTTTCATAATCTTTAGCTCTAATATTATTGGTTTGAATTTAAAAAAAATACACGAATTTTTTACTTTTATAAAGTTTATAAATTATAATTTTCAAAATTTTTACTGACCAGATCAAAGTTCTTAATACGTGTATAAGAAAAATATTGGCTTTAAAAGTAACATCTATATAGTTCATAAAATAAAATTCTTTTAATTAAAAAAAAAATTTTTCTCATAATCAATACTGAATCGTATCTTAAAAAAAATAATAGCCAATTCTCTTGATAATAATAGTGTTAAGGTATTAAGATTTTATCTATATGCATTATAAAAATGAGCTTTTAACCTAATAACTCTGGTTGATTATCTAATTCAAAAAAAATCAGATTTGTATAATTCATTGTATAGAAGAAAAAAAAAGCTTTTCTAATAGTAGTTGAGCTTTTTTTATTTGTTGTTGCATAAGGCCGAACTTGTGTCAATAGTTGCGTCAATCGTCAAAGTTGCTGACAAAACCATTGACGAAACCACTGTGTCATCGCCAAAATTGTTGCATAACCCATCATTAGTGTTTATGCTTTTTGTTAACATAGTCATGCAAACTTCTAAATCAAATAATTTATTTTGATAAACAGTAACAAAAAAACCTTTTCTTAAATACAGGTTTTATTCACGCTATTTACTGCCTCATATATAAGGAAAATTTAGTAAGTGTAAATTTGCAAAAATCTGTATTTTTGCAGATTTTTTTTCATAATTTTTTAGATCTTGAAGTTTTATACAGAATTACATTTAATTCTCTGCATTTATAATATCATATTTGAAGCTTTGTGCAGATTTTCATTTGATTTATTTAATTTTTTTGCGAATCTGCGTAAAACTGCACTATAATAATTCAGATGTAGTACAATAAGATGGTAATAAAATGGTCTAAACAATTTTATACCTTTTTTTTTTGTTTAAGAAAAGCAAACCGTCAAAATCTGATGCTTTTGAAAGTTATTTTTAGTTTTAACTAATTGATTAGTATTTGTCAATAAACCTTTAATCTAGCCGATAATAATGGATATAATCATTACACAGGTCGAAAGATAAAAAATCAGGCACAAATCAGGTACCCGATTTTAAACTGATTACTACCTGATTACCACCTGATTTATGCATATTTTGTACCAAAAATTTGGTACAAAAATATGCATAAATCAGGTAGTAATCAGGTAGTAATCAGGTAGTAATCAGTTTAAAATCGGGTACCTGATTTGTGCCTGATTTTTTATCTTTCGACCTGTGTTAGTGGGTTCTTAAAAAAGAATTGTATTATTTTTACAATTTTCACAAATATTACACATAGAAAAACCACAAAGAATTATAAAATCATATTTGTTCACTTTAACTTTTTACCTGTGTTAAATTATTGTATTTTAAAAGTACAATGTCTATCTGCCAAGTACTTCTTTCTTCACTTGGTGTCAAAAATAGCAATTTCAATGTTTTTTTTATTGCATTCAATTCTATTGTAATATCCATTACATATCATATTTTGGGTCTGTTTGAGCAAATTAAAACTTTAATTTGTGATCCATGAAAAAATAGTAAACACTTATAGAGGGTGTATTTATGGAGGTTTTACTAGAATATACATATATAGTGTACTATACTGAAGATAATTTAGTACTGTATTTTATAGAATTTCGAAATGATACAGTACAGTACGGAAAATACATATATATATATATCTCTATATAAAAAGATAATTTAGTACTGTACTGTATAAAATTTCAAAATGGTACAGTATAGTACATCGCTTATAATAGTGCAATGATTAGAGTCTGATCGCTACTCATGTTACACAATCAATTACACAAATTTAATAAACTAACATTATCATTACATTATTATGTAATTTTTATTTCTACGAATTTAGTCAAATGTTGATTTGTAATATATTCTTTTCTTGTATATATATATGAACTAACTAAAATGGCTTACCAAATTAGTATCGATTTAGATTCTAATGATGAGTGGGATAATTTGTTTGACACAAATCAACATGTTAATAGTTTTGATAGTGACCAGGATTTTAGCAATGAACAGGATTTTGATAACAACCAGAATTTTAGCAATGAACAGGGTTTTGATAATGAAAAGGGTTCTAGTAACAGACAGGGTTTTGATAATGAACAGGATTCTAGCAATAAACAGAATTCTGATGATAAATGAGACTCAGATT